TGAACAGCCATGGAGTGTTGGTTTCAGAGCGATTCGTGAGGTTGCCAAGACGGATGGGTGAGTTTTTATCTACATGATATTGAAGGATGGATGCTGATTGATGGTAGATCTGTTGGCATGCTTCTCGGCTACCATCTCGTCTGGTCCACAACCGCCAATGTAGTCGGAACGCCTGAGCAAGCAGACCGCACGCACAAACTAATCATCTCAAACAACTACTTCGTCGGCGGTGCTGTGAACCCTCGCGACAACGATCTCAAGATCACTTCAAATGGAGATAAGCTTGTCTTCAACGGTTTCAAGAACTTTAGCACCGGTGGTGTTATCTCAGACTTGACTGTTCTCGAGGGTGTTTATGGTGAGAAGGAAGAGCATATCTTTGCTATTGTCCCAACACAGCAGCCTGGAATTCAGTTTAAGCATAACTGGGATAATGTTGGACTGCGACTTACAGAATCCGGGGGTGTTAACATTGAGAATGTTGAGGCGCCGTGGGGTGATGCATTGGGATGGGATGTTGAGGCGAAGAAGCCTGATCCTAATATTCTGGCAATTCCTTTCACAAGTCTGTTCTTGCCCACGTAAGTTGTTCACGTGCGTCATTATTCTTTAGACTTACTAACATAAGATGTAGAATTCAACTCAACTTTGCCAACCTCTACCTCGGCATCGCAGCTGGTGCTCTCGAGTTTGCGAAGGAGTATACTCTCAAGAACACTCGTGCCTGGCCCTTTGGTGGCGATGTAAGTAACAATACCGCCCATAACAGCATTCTCTAACAAATCATCAGAACAAGGAGAAAGCAACAGACGAATTCTACATCCTCTCCACCTACGGCAACTTCTTCGCCCACCTCCGCGCCGCCGAAGCACTCGCCGGGAAAGTCAACGCAGAGGCTGACTCCCTCTACGCCAAGTACTCAAAAGATCGTTCGGCTGTTACAGCCGAGCAACGCGGTGAATTCGCGGAATGGGTTGCCAGTCTCAAGGTCGTCACGACAGACACTGGTCTCAAGATCACTTCTGGAGTATTTGAAGTCACAGGCTCGAGGTCTACGGCTGCAAAGGTTGGGTTGGATAGGTTCTGGAGGGATTTGAGAACGCATACGCTGCATGACCCTGTGGCGTATAAGAATCGGGAGCTGGGAAGATATCTTTTGTTGGGAGAGTATCCCGAGCCTACTTGGTATACTTGATTAGTTTTGGCTACTAGATAGAACGGATTATATTAAATGAGACTGTTATACCCCGACTAGTACTTGGGACAAATGGCTATTGTATACGAAGGGTGCAATTCGCTGATACTTGGCTCTCTACAGCTCAATCTCTAATACATGGGGACCCGAGCGATCAAAAAGGCCAGCCCTCGCGTCGTGTAAGAATTCCAAATTACCTCCAGATATCTCCAACGTACCATTTCCTAAAAAGATTCCTAGAATAAAAGAGGTCCTTACTTTCGTGAACCAGAACCTCAGTTCTTTGCCTTGTTAGTCTCCGGACCTGCGTAAGCCGCAGTCTGACCAATCTTGGTCCAAGGAGCGAAAGCCTGTTATTGTGGTTAGTTTCTGAATTATCACTGACTGGGAATATTACTCACATTTTTGACATTGTGCAGCGTTGCAGCAAGTTCAGGAAAGTGTCGACACAAAACATCCTTCATGGTATTGTTCTGAACCCAATTGATGCCCTCGCGAGTATACACCTCAGGACACCAGCCATCACCGGCAAGGAAGCGATCGGACTTGATGCGGCGAGTGGCCATGAGGATAAACACACGGAAGGCGGTGTCGCTGAAGCCAAAGCCCTGGGGCAGAGGTTCGCTGAGCGTACCGACTAGAAGATCCACAGCCTCGAGATCACCGTCGTAGACTTCTTCCAACTCAGCAGACAACTTGGCATCACCGCCTGTGAGATCAAGGAAGCTCTTTGCAGGTGCCATGTGGAATAAGCGGCGGAAAGCGTTGTAGCGAGGAACGCCGCGCTCACGATCACGAAGGATGTCAATGGTTCCCAGGTCCAAGTGTCGACCGCGAGGAAAGTCTTTGTCGCCTGGAATATTCAAGTCTCGTAAGAAATTGGGCATGTTGTGGGCTCGAATGGCACCTGGGTGGTTGACACCGAAGGAGTAGAAGACGTCAGCGAAGGAAAGGCCGAGACCTGATTTGTCTTCGTCGAAGGGCTTACGGGCTGACTCGAACGCAACCTCTTTGATGGGAAGTGTGCCCTTGTGTTGACCGTCTTTAATGCTGAAAAATGCTACGTTGTCGGGGATGAGTGGATGAAGACGGTAGACGGAGACAAATTCTTCTGTGAGGCAGTATGGGACATTGTCGTGATCAACACCTGATCCGGGAATACCAGAAATGACTTCTGATTTATTGTCAAAGACACGGCCAAAGACATGCCAAAGCTATTGAATCAGTCAGTAATCAATCATCATAAGCAGGGTTAGAAGACATACCTTGTCGCCCAAAAGTCCCCACCAGTTCGCATTCATTCCAATCTGCAGCGCCGGGTGCTGCAGAATACCAGGTGTCCACTCAACAGTATGAATCTTAGCCATGAGCGCACAATTGATCAGTCGAGCAGTATCAAAAATCTGGTCACTCGACCAGCTCGGGTTCGAAAGATGAAGCTGCGTAGCAATGGCGTTATGCTCAAGCGCGAATAGTGTATGAAGAAGTTCAAGTCCCAGCCACCAGTTCTGTCTGAACCCAGTCTCGGGAATGCCATCATTTGATCTAGGGAGGAACTGCACGCCATCTTCGCGTGTGACATGAAGTTGGCCGGGATATGATTTATCACACTTCGCTCGGAGAGCCTTCGTCTCAGCTTCAGTGGATCCGTAGATCTGAGAGGCGTCCCACCAATGGGTGCACTCGTTGGTATAAGCCGGTGTCTCAATATCTTGCTGCGAAAGGGCATCGTCTCTCTTTGTTCGAGGGATTTTCATGATGCGCTCAGACCATCTGTCGGCTTTGTCTAGAGGAATCTCAACGTCTTTGTCGCCATTTGTGACAAGGAAGTGCTGTGCCCAATCATGGACTTGGAACTGGATCCACGCTGCGGCGAGGAGATTGACGATCTCAGCGGGTTTGAACTCGCCTTCAGGTCTAGCAAGAATCTTTTCTGAAATAACTCTTGGGTTGGGAGTGAGTAGCTCCTGTTGACTTGGCGGCGTGGTATACTTTCTTGGAACATTTCGACCGAATCTCATCCCAGCGCAACCCATCTTTGGTTGCGCCAGATCGTTGAAATCGCCATCTGAGTTCCTGTTCGCGATAAATTTGGAGTTCCTCATGGGACAATCAGCTGCAGTGCCCTGGAATTCGGCATTGGGGTAGGTGTCGTGAAGGTTCTTCTCGCGGAGCTCATATCGAAGAGCGAGGAGATTGAAAACACCGAGCCACGTGGGGAGCTTGTGCCAGTGGACAAAGATGTTGACAAATTTCCAAAGACGAATGTAAACAGACTTGAAGATGGATTTGAGGGAGATCATGTTGAAGTGAGAGAGTCCAATGAGTAGTGTAACAATGGATAAGGTAATGGCAAGAGACTCCTTGCTGAGTACTGAAGCCATGGTGCGTATGTCTCTCACATTTCAGCAGGGGATCATGGTCCCTTTATACCTGTAATCACAGGCTGCAAGCTAAGCAGAATTCAGGCGCATGCAAGTCATCCCTCCTTGTGATCTATCACTCGTTGGGCGAGAGGCGTCGTGCTAGGTATCACAGTATCTGACGGAGCTAATTTGCTGACTCACAGAGCTGTACCCCCCTCCATTCCATATTGCCCCGAGTCACTTACCTATCGTCAGCTCAGGATGCGGTGGTGCCTAGTAGAAGAGGGAAATGGCGTTCCACAAAGTGTAATCTCGGTCACTGCCGAAGCTTAATGTAGCCAGTCACAAGAGTCTCGTCATACACCGTTTGGGCTGTGCATTGCATGTGTTACTCACTGCAAGTGGCCAAATGAGTGCATGAGTATTACGAACATGTGAATTCAGAAGAGGGGGAGGCCAGGTCCGTGTGGCGTTTATTCAGCCCTCAATAGTTCAGCCCTGTGGCGGGAGCTAAGGGCGTATAGAACACGCACCATACCAAATCCACAACAGAAAATGTGATAGTGTCCCGTAAGATCAATAGCCTATAGGTCTAGAACTAAAAATGACCTTTTAGCGTCATATTCTATCTCGTGGCTGCGGCTGAAGATACGTTAGGTATTTGGTGGTCGAAGCTTGTTTCTCCCGTTACGAAAACGTCGTGTTTGATTGGTTGATAAGGGTTCGCAGGTGAGACATGGCTATGCAGCTGAAAGCTGGACTACGTTTTTGGCAATGGTTCTCCGATTCCTTCGTTGGGGTCCATGAGAAGATGGCGGGATCAAAAAGACAAAGAGGTGTAGCGACATGGATGCAGGCTCTTGATACGTTAGTCGATAGGAATATCATCAAATCGCGCATACTCTGCTACAAATTTTACATTCAAGAGGGTCTTGGGTTATTTTCATTCAAGAGGTTTCCGGATATATCTGGCCAATAGCAGGACAGGTTATTAGAATTAAGGAGTGCTGAGTCCTATCAATGCATGTTCCATAAATCTGAACTTTCAATCTCGAGCCACTGGTGACTCGTTTCGGCTTGCCCTGTCTCTAGGTTGGAATGAGGTAAAAGCGTTAGTCTCACCGGCCTGGAAAGGCTAATCTATAATCCTATATAATAGGATTAAAATTGAAACCGTATAAGGAGTTTCGGCTATGTTGGGGGTAATAAGTGTTATAGAACGAGCACTGCCTAAAGATGATAGCACATCCGCTATAGACTAAGGGAAAAAGAATTAAATCTCTCTGACTGCGACGCGTAGCAACCAGCCGGCTCGTGATAGAGACCCTAGTAAAGTCAGAAAAAGCAAAAAAAGGGCGGCGTGAGACCTCTGTACTCTGTATAATAGTCAATTTCTTTCTAAGCCTGGCACGAACCCTATAATGCATGTCTGATTCTAATCATAGCTTGCTTCGCTCGCTCACTCCCAATGAGGAGCATTTCCCGACGAGATCTTTATTATGCTTCTTCTTCATAGCCATGCGAATAACATTAGGGTCCACGAAAGCAACAAGCAGTTGCTCGTCGCCCTTATTGTTTCGCAGTCTATCGTAATAAAACTTGCTTCTTTTTAGGTCGCGGTGCCAGTATCTCTGATCGTCGATATCCTTCATGAACACCCGGCCTTCAGGCCAATCGTTGGATCCTCTGAAAACAAATGTGTTTTCCTCAAAAGTAGCATGTGGAGAGATCAAAAAGCGTTCGCGATTGCGGTCGATTTCCTTTGCAATGCGAAGATGTGTCTGGTTTGGCTCGTTGTGTTCTATAGAAGGGAATCCGTTGATGGTGTATATCGATGTGTGTACGAGAGAGCTAATCACCTCTGCCAACGTCGTTACCCAGAAGCCCTCGGGGAACTTGCCGAGCAGGTGAAATATAAGATGGTTGAACATCATCTGCTTCAAACCAGTCGAGCGACGATGCGAAGGGTGAACCATTGTGAGCCCAGTATGAATGATTGGGTCGTCTGAGTCTGGGATGGGAATAGAGAGAGCGGAAATGAAGCCAACGAGATTGTTATCGAGGTGGGCGAGGACAACCATCTTATCCACGAGCCAGTTTGTACCACGAGGTTCTTTCAGCACCTGATAATTCGGTATTTCGGGTAGGCATTGACTGCATAGATTGCGTAATGATGCTTGGAGGGTTTCTTGCTGAACATCAGAGAGGGGAGTGTCCCCGGTGATCAGCTCGAAATGATACTTAGAACTCATCTTTCCAAGCTGAACTAGGCCTGAGCAGCAACGTTGAAGAAAGTAAGTGATTGTGACTAAGAGAGAAAGGCTTGAAAAAGTTGGAAAATGCAGATTTGAGACTGGAAGAGGCCAGTATTTATTATTTTAAGACTTCTCTTAGCTTATGCCAGTAATATATTACAGAGCGACGACTTGGCGTGATGACCCCCAAGCTCCAATCCTTTCTAGATGCCCTAAAACAAACAGCCTTAATAATGTCAAAACATGACCCTTATTACCATCGCGTTCGCGCGCTGATTGTTAAGTCTTATATTTTAATATACTTTAGCCTGGAAAGATGAGTCTCTGGCTAAGAACCTTACTTATTCTCAAAAGGCAAAAGTAAGGCGATAATTAATTATTTACTCCAGAAAGTCATAACATTAAGCCAGTACCAGTCTCGGTCGTTCCGCTCTTAGGTGAATGAAATTAACTGCCGGCTCAGTCTTCGTATAAAATTGATACTAATTTTAATAAGCGCTACACTATATGTAGTAGAATTTGGTGAAAGGGAATAAACTTTTCAAAGACGAAAGCTTATTATAGGTAAGTACTCTGTATATCCCTGAAATTGGCATTATCACATCGCATTACAGTACGAACGCAATCGAGGCTGACCAATCAGTTTCAAGCTCTTAGCTCTCTTATAGTACCTCTACGTGCCAGGAGTAGTATTGCACTGCAGATTTGTGGTCGGCGCCCGCGGAACTCGAGACACGATATCAAGGCCACTGCAGGACGGGCTTATATTACAAAGTCAACACGGGCCCTATTGTAATTGGCTCGGTAAAAGGGAGTCATATTTCACTTCCAATTCTTCCTAGAATGTTCGGGCTGTTCTGATGGAATGGATTTCTGTCGAATTCTTATGTGGTCGGCCCTGTCGCGATGGGCAATTGTGGAGTCGAGATAAACACTTTTAACTACGACCTCCCTACTCTATATTCCGTACTGCTAGACATATCGCTCATGTGGCCTCAGATTCTATTAAGACTGCAAGAGGGTTTCGGTATCTCGGCACAGAAGCTTTATGGCCTTCACCTCAATCCCACTCAAACCCCGAAATTATAGTAGGCTTTTGTTACATTCTTAAAACTACTAGCAGGGGTGTAAGCCTCCCGGTGTGTCTATTAGAAGAAGGTGCACTATAAATATCGTCTTATTAGGTTCTAATTAGTATTAAGTACATATTAAAGTTTAACTCTATATTATCGGTTTGTAAAAGCTTTTTTATATATAAATAGGACAGCAATACATATTCTCTTTGTCTCTTTCTTTACACTATCTATATATATTAAATTATAAAAGTGCAGAAATCTATATAACGAGCCTGTTCTGGAAATCCATTTCTATCTTTTTATTCTAATCTGCCTGTTCCAAGATGAGGCCGACTATATTTTTTTCGATCATTTCAACAGTTGTTGCTTTTTCGAATCTTGCATCTCACCCAAAAGATCGACTCGTCTTACGCCAGGACGAAGGCGAGGCCGTATGTGCAAACTGTGACAACTCCGTCACGTGCAACGGCGTGAAAGTGGTAAGTACTTCTCGATTGCTATTTTCTTTTTTCTTTTATTCTTACTCTAATGTTTGTTCTTATAAGAACTGTGTAGGAAGAAGAGAAATAGTTCATCTCTCGGAGCGTCAGCAGGAAGAACAGATCCGAAATGTCTGCAACAACTGCAAGAACAACGTTGTTTGTGGAGGTCGAAAAATTGTAAGTGGCGTGAGACTTGCTAGTTTGGCCGTTATCCTTCCCATTCACTAACTACCTGATAGAACTGCTCATAACAGAACAGCTTGAATAGATGGCCACCTATTGGTAGACAAAGGAGTTGCCCTGGTAGCCGTTCACAAGCTTGCCATTACATAATTGTTTGTCAGGATAGTGGCTGTTGATGGCAGCACCTGTAAGATATCTATCTCGGATGCTCTTTAAGTGCTTTCCCCCTATTGTCCATAAGACTACCAGCTTCTCCCCACTTGCGGCTCCACGAAACATTGACAGTCTTTCCATCTGTGATGATCAAGTAGTTGTACGTACCTGTCACAATAGAATTACCCAAAGATCCGTTCTTTGCTGCCAATAAAGCCTGGTAGTCATGATCCCAGAGCTAAGTCGTGGCCTCGACCGTCGCGTCACAAGTGTCGCTGCGAATTCGATTGTATTGTGAGAGACTTCCCTCAACACAGACTTGTCCCGGCCCATAATGAAATCACCATGGTAGAGTGTGTCTTGTCCATAAAAGTAAGCAATACAAGCATCAAGATCGGGAACGTGTTTAGTACCTCCTCAACTAGATAAAGTCAAGTAGTTGCCATCTTCAGAGGCGTTCTTCCAGTCTACTGACTCTGGAGTGAGCTATGGTTCCTTAGCTTACATCTTAAGCTACATTTCTCTATATAGGCCCCAGGACACAGAACTTGCCAGTAGCTACTTACTACTGATTCAGGAGAGCTGGAGATAGATTGATGGCGACAGACCCAAGTGTCTAGTGACTCTGTGATTATACCAACTACGACCCAATTATTTAATATAAACGCTAAGTTTAATTAAAGGCCTAGTCCTAAATATCACTAAATATCTGATATAAGGCCTTTAGGATATGGAGCTTACTATTTGCCTGGAGCATTATTTCAAAATCCCAATATCAACACTGGCTACAAATTCAGAAGTTCTGTCGATTGCCTGCTTGTATGAGTTAATCAGAGAAGGCAGCCTGCCCTGAATAGCCACGGTTTTCCATCTTGGGCTTCATACAACCCTTCCAGACATTCTCTCAGTCAATATCAGTACCAAGTTATGCTGTTAGGCTATTCTCAAAAGCCAGGCTTCAAAAGTACTTTCAAATACCTCAAGCGGCCCATACAGGTGGAACTTTGCCATCGGACCTCATCTCTAGAGTGGGTGCCCTTGGTAAAGGCCTGGGCGACGTGCTTGGTCCTGCCTCATCATTTGTGGCTGTGGCCCAGTAGGGTATGTGCTGTTGTGCTAGGGTTGAATCTGGCCGTTTCTCTGACGCAGGAAGCGGGAAACCAGTTGAATCTGTTCTGAGATTATCATCTCCTAGCCAAAATGATTCATGGCCGGAATAACGTGGCTTAGGACGCGGTTCTCCCCTGGACCTTTCGGAGACGCGTCTTTCGTTGTACTTTTCAACATCACCTTTCCACCATGCTTCTTCGTCCGGCCTGAGGGCCCCCGGAAAGAATTCATCTCTCAGAGGTTTCCCTAAATTGTAGGTGGAGTGGAAATCCATGATACAATCCATCGCTTTCCGCCCCGTGACCTGGTCTACACGTTTCAGCGGAATGTTTCTTGACTCTGGAGTGAGCTCCTTCGCCGCAAGCCAGGCATTCTGGAACATACCCAAGCCTCCAACACCTAGAAGACACCAGGAGTCTGGGAATTCGCCTCGAGCGGAAACATTGACCAGCAGCAGTAGCCAAAGCACTGAGAGACACGCGCAAGAGGCTTGCGTGATGATGAAGCCGATTGGAACTCCTCTAAATAGCCACATATCCGATCTTTTTGCTTTACGTAGCATTGTGTTGCGGCGGATAACCGATAAATTCCGATCGGTTCCTTCCTGAGGTCTTGATAGCCACAGGAACTTCTCCCATGGTCTGCCGTTGCGAGGCGATTGTGAAGCCGCAAGAGACTCAAGATCGAGGCATTTGCCGAAGCCACGAACGACCATGACTTCTCGAGATCCGTTGCCAGAGGTAATCGCATAGACCTGGTCTGATCTTTGTCTGTTTGGCAATTTCTCCGCCCTCCACTGGGGTAGTAATCCTGTCCATTGCACCAACAAAGTGCCAGCTACCGTAATGAGCAACACGCTCCATGTACGATTTACAATAAACGGTATGAAAGCAAGCGTCAGCTGAATCAAAGTGATTATGATGCCAACGATGTGAATCGAGCCCCAGGAGAATTCTGTTCGTTCATTTTTATTCCACATAGCTTCAAAGACTGTGATCTTCAGAGCATAACTGCTTCCATCGAAACCTTGATCTTCGGTGGCAATGTTCGCTTCTCGAGTCTCTATTGCTTCAAGGTCTCGTAGTAAGCGACCAAGGATGAAATTCTTATTCTCTCGAAGATATCCGGACTTGAGGTTCAGCACTTTGCATGGATAATCCGGTGGTGCAAGAAGCCGCCCGTCACCAATTATGCCGACTAATGCGACAAAGGCGTAGGCAACACATCCAAATGAGAAGCAAACAGGAACATAGATCTTTCCTGTCGCTTGGGAGTAAGCCTTTTGAACCACGTCTCCACCTAGAACAAAGAGTATTGTCGACACGTCTGATGGATTGACCCATTGAGATGCGAGATTATTACTTGTTGACATTTTAATAGTGCTACTGCGTAGAGTAGTCGTGACGTTACTGAGCTGCTTTGAGGCATGGGGCGAGCTGCGGGTGAACAGGTCGTTCTAGGGGGGAAGCTGACGGCGTATTATCAATATTTTGCCACGTCAGGGCCGGGCGTAATCAGGCTCGGCAACTAAACGCCGAGTCTGATGCACAGTGTCGCCCTTGTACGCCCATGTACCTTTTCCCTCAGCGGGCTCGTGGCGCAAGGTCGTCACACGACCTGCAAATGGCCAATCAAAGGGCTAGAAGTGACACCTCATTGATAGTCTACACTTCTGTCTCACCTTCAATCATATCATGATCACTTTGGAAATTACTATGTATGGAAATGGTGGCTGGCTGTGTGCTGATCGTTTGCGAAAAATCGATTAAAGCGAAAATCAACATACACTTCCGATTTCTCATATGATCAAAACTTACCAAAAGATACCGTTATAGTGCACATTAAAATACCTCAGCCTTCTCAACTCCTAGACCTGCTAAATGCTCGATATTCTATGAAGAAACAAGGCAGAATGGAGGATAGGTAGGAAAAACAACTATATAATATCTCCAAACGCATTTACAAATAATCGCCTGGCTCTAATCATGACTGTTTGACATGAGAGAGATTCGGTCCTTGACCCTTCCTACACTCTTTCTCATCGACTCATCCTCTACTCCTTCAGCCTCCTTAATTTGCCTTTCAATAAATACGATTAAATGCCCGTAATCCTTTCTAAATAAGTCTTGGCGAGTTGCCAGGACCCCTGCTAACCTTTCTCGCAAAAGCAAACATTCCAAAAACCTTTCGCGTTCCGCATCCGTCTTCTCGAGAATCCACATAATCTCGAATATTATTCCAGTCACAGTTTCTATTGAAGGTTTTTCGAGGCATAACTCAATCGTCAGGATTGACATCAAAGTCTTGACCGTCTGGCGATGACTGCGGCCCGGACGACTCTGCTGAGCGGCTAAGATGACGTTGAGCTCGCTGCTGTAGTCCACATCCTGTGTCGTGTCGTTTTCGAATTCAGAGGCAAGTAGTTTCGCCAGTATAGATTCTTGCCTCGCATGTAGAATGATGGGGTGCTCACTATCTAGAGGTACTGACAGGTCAAGTTGATCTGCGTCTTCTTCACCAAGTAAGTTGGTACAGCCTGACGATGGAGCCTCGTCCCCAGCAACAGTATTGAAACACCAGATCGCCTTCCTGTAAAGTTCCTGGCGTTCTTTGTCATCTGCCTTTACCATTGCTGTTGTTGAATGTATTTCTCCGATGGACAAACAAGCCATGAGCGGCAGCGGGTGGAAACGCCCCAGGCTTTTCTTCCCAGCATCACGTACCAGCCCCAGGACACTGAGTGCCAGGTCCAGTTCTGAATGGGGTTGCCTTGTAAAGATCTTTCCACACAGGAATAAAGTGTACAGGATATCAGGATGAGCTGCGACTCCCGAGCCTGATGTGGCGAACACGCCTCCGATGTCCTTCAGCAATGACTTCCTCAGGAAGGATCTCACACCGTAGTGAGCATCTTCCTGCCAAAGATCATCGCGCTGAAAGCGCAGAAACTTTTGAAGCTGGCAGTATAGTACAGCAAAAGTCTCAGTTTCGGCAGCCTCTAGGGCCCCTAAGTGGTATTTGGCTAGGGAAAGCTGAGAGCGGACTCTTAATACCTCAGGGTGTCGTTCCCCCCAAAGTCTCACTCCATACTCCTGGACCGCAGTCAGAATAGCTTCAGCGGTCGAATAATTGCCACATTCGATATGTAGCGCGCCAAGCTGGCTCCGGTACTTAAGAGTCGAAGGGTGGCCATGACCCAGGTTGGCGGTCGACTCGGCACGTCGACACAAAGATGCAGAATCGTCCAGTGCAAGCGTCAAGAATCCTTCTCGCTGCGCCGCAGAGATTAAAATAAACTCTGCCTCTAGCGCTAGAGGATGCTCATTTCCAAAAGCTTTCTCTATTACTTCGGCGCATCGCTCACACGAAATCCTCCCATGGTGGACTTGGCCCGTCTCAACTTGAAGAAAGGAACTGAGGAGTGCAACTTCAATAGTTAGGAGATTAGTCTCTCCTATCTTGACTATCGCATCGCTCAAGGCTGGTTGTAGAACTGACAGTGCCTGATGATAGCACCCTTGAAGAACGTGGATACGGGCTTTGTTGAGAATATTAGAGATCCTGATACCCTCGTAGGACTGAATGTATATAAACTTCTCGCACCACTCATGCGCAGTGTCAGCTTCGTTGGATGTCTCGGACTTCAGATTGTCGAGCTTCCCGCACCACTTGTCCGCCGCATTTAGTTCTTCATTTATCCTCGGGGAATGAAGAAACCCTCGGTGAGCTATAACCAGAGCCCGAAGTCGGCAAACAGAAGCCGAAAGTTTGCAAAGCTTTAGTTGCTCTTTGGGTTGCTCTGAAGATAGTGGCATGTACTCGTTAGGCAGTACTATCTCATTCAAACAGTAATTCATTTCCTCGTAGTTGCCAGTTCGAAACAGAGCAAGAGCATGGCTCAGGAGTATAGCGCCATGGGTATTTGTTATGCTTGGTTTGAGGAATTGATTATCATACTCCCTCAGGTCATCTCGTAACTGGTGCAGATCCTTCTCAGCTTGAACATATTGTCCCAGCATCAAGCGAGCGAAGGCTAGACCTGATTTGATTTCCCAAACAGCAGTGTTATATGGAATGTCCATTCTTAGGCATTCTTGGAACATTGCAAGGGCGTGTTTGTTGTCTCCACTTTCGAGGCGCGACTCAGCTTGGTCTCTCAGATCTTCCCATCTGGTCTTGCCTGAAATCTCTTTCGGCGTATTTGACGTGCTTTCGGCTTTCTTCTCCTCTTTTGGCTTGAATGCCGATGTTTCCGAACGCTTTGATGCCTCAATGACATCTTCATACCGGTGTGCTTGTGCAAGGTATAATGTAGAGGATGGAGATCCTGCGTGGGGGAATTGCGGGACGAACGAGATGTCCATGGCTTCGTACAAGCGTCTAAGAACCATTTCAAAGGGCTCTTGCAGCAAGCGCAGTAGATCATTGTCCAGAGATTCATTGTCGATGACCTCTCGTTGGAGACTTGTTGTCCAGACGATGCGGTTCAACTCAGGGTTAGTGCGCTCCCGAATCATGTCCTCAAACAATTTCCTATTCATTTTGACTAGTGCGTTAGCCTGTTGCATTGTGTACCCATCGATCGGGTGACTTTGGTTCGATTGTTCGCTGTCTTGAAAGAGAAGGATAAGATTTATGTTTGTTGGAGTTCTAGAGAAGGGGCGTGTGAAGACACGCTTCATCAAGTCTGACCCTGGCGCGTCTGCAAGAATTATAAGATACGGAAGTTCGGTTTTCCGAGATTTTCTTGGCCGGGGAGACTCTATGAAATATTGCAGTCGGGCAGCCATCTCGTCAAACGAAACCTTTCCGTCTTGGTATGCCTCCTTCTGACTAAAACCGACTTTTGTCAAGCGGTAGGGAAATGAGAAACCCTGGAGAATCTTGTCGGCTGCGTCTAGGCAGGAAAGAAGCGTAGGTTCTACGGCAGAATGGACGAAAATAACTCTATCAAGAATGAGGACAAGCATACATCGAGTTGCGGGCTGGATCAAACTCACTCAATCAGACGTTTGTCATTGCCCCAGGTTAGAGGTTTGCGAACGCGGCTCGTACTGGCCTTGAATCCCTGTGGTGCTTTTATGACTTTAAGCCCACGGCGTCTTCTGTATATCGTTCTCAGATGTTCCATAGTTTTATGTCCAACGGAGCTCATAACGGTTGGTGGCGAGAGACGTGGATATGTAAGATCACACTACGATGAGTTGTTTTTTTTTATGAGTATGGCTGACATTTGATCAGCTGTCTTACGGCATGAGCAGCTGAAAAAAATGCCCTGGCTAAGTGGGGAGGGCAAAATCACTGTACGAGTCAACCTCAAGCGTCAGAGCCCTTGTCGGTACCTATAATTCGAACCTCGCACAGTACGTGTCTGCATTGTTATCTTTTAGCTCGAGTCTTTGATTGGATGCAAAATGTCTTGGCTGAGTTGGTGGCTGCTAGGATATGCACAGCTGAACAACCCTATCACATAGAAAGCAAGCCACGCGCGGTTATTGTAAATCAGGCTGAGGGAAAAAGAGAGGTTGAAAAGTCCGTGCAGTTGCGCACTTCCCCTAAATATCCTAAGTCTATTGCGTTGTTCTGCTCATTCGTCCTCTTCGTTCGGCTTCTTTTTACAGTTACGTTACTCAATTGCATACTGCATTTACAGTAAGGGGCAGTGCAATCAGTCAGCTTAAGTACCTTGATCGACGTTACACAATTGGTAGCTATGCAGCATTTACGCCACGTTTATGATAGCAAGTGGTTGAGAACAGTCACGGTGGGATATTTTGACATTCTTGAGCACTGTTGTACTACAAAGCACCCGTGGACATACGACAACTTTGTCAGTTTTCCGAAGCAACATGGATATTGGATTGATGAAAGTTATAGAGTTTGTCAATCTGGAAAAAAGAGCCGCTGCGCCATTCTTGATCGCCCTGCATTTGATCAGGCTTGGCTGTTTTTTCAGCTTATCTATTGTGTTGTTCGTAATCAGGAGGAGCCGTTCTTAGCCCACCAGAAACTTGTTTCTGAGGGTAAACTCGACACAACAAAGCTTCCTGGTGCGCTGAACAAATGGAACAGGCATATGCAGCACTTGCACAAAACAGACCCAGGAGCCGCCGTCATGAGGTTCCTCGAAGCAAATCAGATACTGGAACTCGCCAAGCAAGTAGTCCTGGCAAACCTGGCTGAAAACTCACCGTCTATGCTCGTGCCACAGCCCACGAAGAGATATGAGAAGGGTAATCGAGCGACTGAGCTTTATGACGAGCGAAATCTTTGTATAATGATCCTAGGGGAGACTCTTTCTGCTGTTCTCACAAAAATGATGAGGGCTTGCAACATCAACCTGCCGGGCTGGGAGCTTGACGATGGGGGAGGATGGGGACCGCCAGCATATGTGTCAAGAATGATGTTCGAGCATGGTTGGTGCCCAAGATCCCAGGCGACAGTCAAAGGACAGCTCGGTCGAAATGCAACCCTATTATATGTCACATTACTGGCACATGAAGACAACCGCCATAATCGCCATCATTGGAAGAGGTGCACCTCTTCGAGGTGCGAGTTTATAGAGGCTTCAGACAACCTTTCCGATGATAGCAAAGATCTAGTCAGGGAATACAGGCCATCGCATTCCCTGGCTTGTGGTGCAACCGACTCTGAGGATGACAAAGACTGCGGCATGATTGGTCCAAACGAAAATGATATACTGGACGTCCTCGAACGGAGCAATCATCCGAGGACCGGCATATTCCCACTGATAAGGATATGGGAGGACAAAGAAACAAAGAATCTTGAAATCAAAGTGGAGGAATGGAAGGCCGGGACAGCGTTTGCGACAGTATCTCACGTCTGGTCCCAGGGATTAGGGAACAGGAACAAACGAGAGATCCATGTCTGTCAGCTAAGGGCTATCAAAAACCTGCTGCAACAGGTCTTTGGAGAGAAAGAATCTTACCTCTTTTGGCTCGATACATTCGCCATCCCACAGCGCGGGACGGGAGACACAAGACATGCTCAGTTGAAACGGAAGGCCATTGGACTCATTCACCACATATTCAGCAATGCACAACACTGCATCATCCTCGATCGTTATCTCATGATGTATGGAAAGGCCTATGACTACAACTGTCGAGCTGTTGGTGCCGAGATACTGGCCAGTGGATGGATGATGCGACTATGGACACTCCAAGAAGCTTTCGTGAGTGACCAATTGCATCTTGCACTTGGGGGCCACGACGTGTATAACAAAAAGCCGCCAAATCTAGACACTTTCTGGGCAGAGACCAATGGCCAAGAAGTGCTGAGGAGCTCAATGACAGAAATCATGAGGAGTAAGGTAGAGCTTAACCTGATGAGAACGGGGCCGAGGAAGACCCTGATGGAGAAAAGCACCTCTGAGCGTGCTTTGTTGATAGCGAGTGCCTGGAGGGCGGTACGATATCGCGTGAGTCTTGTACCCGGTGACTGTCATTTATTCTTACTGATGAACTCTTCAACAGACCACCAGAAACCCAGGGGAAGAGACTTTAGCACTATCTAGCTTGCTTAACATCCCCATTCCCCAAGACGATGAAAGCCCAGTGCTTTCTATAGCCCGAGAGAACGATCGCGAGAGACTAATGGAAAGGTTTTGGGAAACAGTTGGCAAAGACGGTGCCTTCGGAAAGGCAATACCTCCTGGAATTATCTTTCTGCCTGGAAAACGATTGTCTTCGGAAGGGTTCAGATGGGCTCCCTTTACATGGATGTCCGGGGAAGTGGAAGCATATCCGTTCCCCTTGGACAACCCAAAGCATGCTACTAAGCTGACATCCAAAGGACTAGTCGTTCAGTTTCCAGGGTTTTGTCTCTATCCCACCCGAGATAAGCTCTGTGATATAATCAGAACTAGCAAGAGAAGCTCCTTCAAATTCTCTGTTGGCCGGGGCCTCGATGAATGGTACCAAGTCTCCGCAGCGAGGAAGAGGGGCCAATTGAACGGCATCTCAGCTCCCTTAGATAATGGGAATCACGACCTAAACCACATTGCAGTTGAGCTACGCAAAGACATTGACTCGGGGAAGCCTCTGAAGATTGGGATTATTCTTTCCCGGCCACGGCCTGTCGAAGTGCAAGGCGAGATTGGGCTCTTGGTCAAGATATGTGACAGCGAGGACCGCTGTCCCCTTTCTGGTAGAGACAGGTCACTTCTCACCTGCAAGATAATTCGACGTATCGAGGTCTCGCGGCTCGCTATAGGCGCTTCCGATGTTCCCCCATGGGAGACAGGGCCTCAGGAAGCACCCGGGTATGATCCCATATTGAGCAGATATGAGAGATTCCGGCGGGAAAAGGTAGCCGGAGTGCAATTGGATGATGCACAGAGCTGGTGCGTCGACGGATTTTCTCGTAAAGCTCCAGCAACTGGCGGTCTCAAGCGGAGTCAAACTGACGTTTCTACTCCACGTCAGCCTGGAGGGTTCTTGAGCAAACTGAAAAGGGCGATGACGAGCAGCTCGAGACTTGAAAGTTCAGATTTATAATGCATATATTTAATATTTTGACAATTATTGGAACTGCGTGTCCTGCCAAAGTGGTACAATATCTCAGATTTTGACATATCGTATAATGTATTTCGGCTCCCTACTGGTGTATCATAGGTCTGTTGGTGCAAAGCCACTACATAGCGCTAGGACCTCGGTACTGAATTTACAGCGCGCCAGAGTCGCTAGCGAATCACAGGTCTACATTGCGTAAAAGCTCGCTTGACAAACATAGGCCGTGATGTAAGAATAGTTGCATGATCGTTTATTATCCACTGCTTATAAAGCCTCGCAACTTCTCCACACATATCTCGATACCTCATTATGTGTATAGCAAATAGTATATACAAGTATCCGACTTGTCGTTATCGAAATTATTTTAAATTGAAGGTGAACCTCATTTAATCAACAACACTTGCGGCCAGTATTGTATAACGTAGCCTTCTTGCCCTCATAACATCGTATTGAACTCGCCCTCCTACACTAAAATGAAAGGCAAGGGTTGGGGGTAACTGGGCTGGGTCTCAACAGTAACATGGGCAGATTAGACATAGACAGTCTCGGTAGGTTCATATCCACAGGCTCGGTCGAAGTAGTAGAAGCTCATGGGCGAAGAGACAGTGTAAAGCTGCATGCTCGAGACCTCGGCAGTGTAGAAGTAGCAGGTCTTGTACTTGACGTCAAAGCTGACAGCCTTGCATCCACCACGGCAAGCATCAAGACAGTTCTTCATGTTACCCTCAGCCTGGGACTTCTTGTACCAAGGGGTATTCGTGGCTCCGACGTAGCCAGTAGCTCCACAGGTCTTGCCTACAGCGTCTGCGACGCAAGCTCGATCGAAGTAGTGGAATGTCATGGGCGAGTTGGTGACTTGGTAAAGGCGCATCTTGGAGACTTCGGCTGTGTAGAAGTAGCAGGTCTTGTACTGGGTGTCGAAGCTGATGGCCTTGCAGCCGCCAGTGCAGGAGTTGAAGCAGCCCTCGATGGTGCCCTCGGCCTGGGACTTCTTGTACCAAGGTGTGTTGGTGGCACCGACGTAGCCGTTTCCGCCGCAGATGACGGGCTCAGGTGCACCCGCGAGGCAAGGGGAGGCATTGGAGAAAGCCGCGAGGGCGGTAGCAACGACGGTTGAGAAGCGCATAGTGATGATTGTTATAGTAGTTTTGTGGATGTTTGTATAGTTGTTTGAGAGGATGCAGCACCATAAAGCTGGCTCTTGCGGTGCTTTATATAGCAGATTCTGGATGAGCCTTTGATCATTTTTGCATCTCTTAAACTCCCTCGCATCCGTTTAGCGATTTCACCGTATGATCCGGAGCGACTCCCACCGACTTCCGAAAGCTGAAAGGCTGAATTAGACTATTGAACCGCCTGCATGATTTTCTAATAGCTCTTGCTTGGCTGCTACCTTGTTTGCTGCTAATTGTGCTTTTTTCCTTGGCTTTAACAATCGGAGATATCAGCATGGTATCCCATTGGGCCGGGTCAGCTCTTGGCTGGGGTAAAGATAAGCACCAAGAAATCAGGAGTAGAAAGCCACAACTGATGGACTAACGGCTTTTAGCCGGGCAGAACATGTGCTGTTTTTCGAACATTTGGTAGGCTGTCGTCCTGTCTTGCCTGTCCGCAACAGGTGTAACGGTGAATGCAGAAGGGTTCGGAACGCAGAGAGGATCGCCGAAACCTGGGGTACTTGGAATACAAATCAGGCACAATGATCAGCAGCACCCTCTAATATTGAACGTTGTACATATGTTTCAAAGGCTGCCCATATTCATAATTCCTTCAAAGACTTGGCCGCGTCACCCCGTGCGAGATGAGAATTACGAGGTTCGTTTAGAGTTGACAGTCGCCCGAGGCTTTCAATAGTCCAAAGCCACTTTTCTAAGCGAGCGTGCGGCTGGATCATGGCGACTTTATAGCCCCGTGTACGGTACCCAATTAATCCTCCGACAACACTCCAACCTTCTCTTCGTCCCATCAATCGTGGTGAGCTGTTTGAATCAGCAGTCGGCCGCTGTTGACAACGCACTGTATTGCCGCCAACAACCTGGGAACCATCAAGGTCTAGCAATGTGCCATTGGCTTAGGCTGTCGGCCTTACCAGGATCTTGGGTCCCAACAGCGGAAGACTCGGGGAAATGTGCGGAATTGTGTTTCCTGTGCCTTGATGGCTGTGTATCATCGGACAGGTCTAATTGGATGAGCTGAATTGCCAAGAAACGGTAGATCCATGTTGGGTTGTCAGCTCGCCACGCTTTCTTTGATCAGAACCAACCATGCGATAAGATAGCCGAGTGATACGATGCAACGTCGGGTTTCGACACCGCTGGACACAGTGAATGAGTGTTTATTTGACATCCCAGATCCTCTAGTTTCAATAGCCTGGTGCTAACCCACGAGGTGGTTGCATGTATGGTAGAGTTGAGCAACTTCATCTGCAGTGACTGTGAAAATAAACACGCAGTTTTGATATCATCATTTCCTGCGTTCAGACTAATGGTTTGAGCAATTGAGTTATCAACCATCTATCCTGCCCAGCCATACCGCATCGTCTAGATCATATGAAGAAAGAAGTCACCAGCGCTCAAGGATGGCAAAATAAGCATACGTCATTAGCAAAGACGCTAATATAAGGAGTCCACTCTTAGCTGGGCACCTCTATTCATATCCTTGTCATATCGTATAAAAGTACTCTACTAGAAGAAAAAGTAGAATGCTTGTTCTTTAGAGCTGCTGGGTAAGGCACAAGAGAAAAAAACATTGCTGAATCTTGTCTATGAGACACCAGAGGTTGTATGCGCGTTATACAGACCAATTTTTTCTTACAGCTGGTGGTCAAGCGTTTGCAGACTCCGTTGATCTCTAAAAATAATCGTGAAAAAGGAGTCTGCGCACGCAGTCTGAACCCAAGTTCGAAGTACCTAGCCAGCAATGGAAAGCGGACAACAATCACTGACAGGTACATCGGGAGTACAAAGTTAACCCCCTACATGCAACAGGGCCTGTTAAGATGCCGGTTGGCCCTGTCGATCCTAGCAGGGATGATTTTAGCTGCGACACAAGCTTCCATATTTGTGAGGAGCTACAATGGTACAGAGATTGGAATTTCGTGAACACAAATGTCGTGAATGGTGTCCGTAGTCTTTCATATTAAATATAACTGAGGGTGGTTTCCGGAAATTAGACAGCGTCGGGCCCGATTCTCCCTACCTAATCTATTAAAAGGCGAATATGTAAGGGGGTGACAAGGACTTGACTTATGATCAATGGTGTAAGGGGGATGAGCCCCTACTCAGTGCAAGTACCTAATCACAACCCCCTTCACAAGACAAGTTCCGTATTTATCCTGATGAGTGACGACTAATCCCAACTATTCGATATAATTAGTATGATATCTTGTCGGAGTGTTCTGCTTGCGACTTGTTGTCGGCGCACTGCAGACGACACGTATCAAACCAGGCTGTCATCTGAAGGCGAGGCTCAGTATCACTTCGAATCTATTGGCTGGAAATGCAAGATTTACCATGACTCGCTTGACGTACATTCTTATCCAACGGCTTGGAACCCCTCATTTTGCTTTCAGTTACACAGCCACCTTGGAGGAAAGTCAGCCATCAACAGGCCTCCAACTGCATCGGATGAACAAAACTCTCGGACACCCCGGCCAGCTTGACTTGTTTAGACCGTAATCGTCTGTTTAAAACCCTACCGGCAGATCCCAGACATTAAATGGATCCTCTCAGCATCACTAGCGCCTCAGTCGCGCTGGCCGCCGCTGTCTACAAATGCGCGATTGAAGTAAAACGTATGGTTGGCACGATCGCCGACGCGGCCGACTCGCTCTCAGATCTAGCCGAAGAGACTCAATTAATTCAAGGAGCTCTCCAGGGCGTTGAGGACGCTTTGCGGGACAATAATGATGTAATCTCGCGATACAAGGTCGAAGAGGTTTTCTCCATTGCAATCAAGGGCTGCCGCGCGACGTTGGTGTGCATCAAACAGGAGTTTGAGCTGCTTTTTAATCGATGTGACTGGAAATCTCGATTCTTGTTTCTGTGGAAGGAGGATGACATGAAAAGGCTGCTTGGACGACTTGATCGCAAACGAGAAAGCATCCTGCTGTTGCTTCAGCTTCTGAGCCTGTAAGCCTGACCTCAAATATCGGATTCAGAAGCTGTAGCTGACCGCATCACCAAAGGAGCTCAGTAAGAGAAGTTGAGGCGTTGGTTGCCAAGAAACAAAGTGTTTTAACGGTTACGAAAGAGGACATAACGGCTCTCATACCGACCTACTGGACTTGCCGTGGTACAATCCTTGAATCCCTTGATGAGGAAACGGTTGACAGCATCTATGGGGACTGGGAGAATCGGGAGAGCAAGCTGAGTACAACTGAGTTTGACTTTGACTATGAACTCATCAACACACGGGCCTATCGTCGAGCCCTTGCTCAAGCACAAGCCAAACGATGTCGAGAGCTGCCGCCTTGGAAAGAGTCTAACATCCCTGCCAAGAGATCCAAGGGAGGGACTATAGTTGAGGATCTACTTGACTTGAGTTCTGAGCCGAGTCAGCAAACTGCCTCCATACCGCCACACGTTCCCTTCTACACGGACCTGGCAGGTCTGCAGTTCATGTCGATGGGCGCGGACGAAGGGGTAGCTAGCGTTGGAAGCCTTGGCTTTTGCAAAACTGCCGTACCGACAAATTTGCTAGGGATGAAAGAAGGTTTGAGGGAATCCAACTTGCCACCTGAGTCGAGAGATAAGAGCTCACAAAACCGGGCGCTTAGAATTCGGCAATGGTCCCAAACTAAGACCCAAGTTCTGTCTGCTGAAATAAGCTCTCAACCACAGGTCTCAACTGCAAATAACACATCTGATGCAGTGACGGGAGTAAAACGAGATAAATCTGGACAAAGAGAGGCACTGGCCAGTCAATTGGCATCCGCCAAGTGTTTCAACAGTAGCAGCTTGTCTGCTGCACCCCCAATGTTGCATGACATACCTGCTGACAGCACTTTAGTAACTACCGACACGCCCATAAGGAAGGCTTTTAAGTCACAGGCTGAATTAATGGTGGAATACTTCGAAGGTATAAAAGGCGGCCAGGTTCCCACCGTTCGTGTACGCCTAAAGCCTAGCAAGAGGAACGCAGTGGACACCATGGATCATACTGAAGTTACAAAGGCAAGTCGCATTGATCGAGCTTCTGGCATAGTTTCGGATGAGCCACTCGACAACCGCCCTATGGGTAGTTCTCAAGCTCCAAGCATCGGAGATTCCAGTCTCCCAAAAAGCATGGCTAACCTTGAAGTTAAGCACGGTTATGGACGACGACGGGCAAGTCCACGGGGTTTCGCCGAGATCTCGGATGAGATACGGAAAGCCCGCGTGACAACAAAAGTAAGAGCAAAGAATGCAAACGATTCAAAGTACCGATCTTATGAATCAGGATATATACCCGAGTACGACACAAGGCCTCGGAGACCAAACATTACCAGGCGGTCGCGCCCGAAAGTCAAACAAAGCGAGCGCAGCAAAAGCACCGATTTCACCGAAGACAATTTAGGGACACCGCCGAATACAAAAAACCCAGGGCTTCTCAAAACTGTCGAAGATGCCATCCGAAGATTGAATCTAGCTGAACTCAATGCAAAACGTGAGACAGCTCAATGAGGGAGCCGATTCGCTGAAGCATAAGTCTCTCGTTATATGGGCTCTTGTTAAGGCAGGTTAGATCAGGTTGTGAAGGGTGCTGTACCCTAGATTACGCGCTGGTAGCTAATAACAACACCATTCACGATGAAGAAGAGCAAGAGGGGAGAAGTAAAAGGCAAGCAGGCTCTTCTTTACATTACACAAGCATGATTGATGAGCAACAAAGGGATAGATTGAACAGAGTAGATGAATTGAAGAAAGGGAGTAAACGTGGCAAAACGGACATTGAGAGAGAAGGATCATAAGAACAAAAAGTATACTTATCGTTCATTCAATTATATGAATCTTTATACTTGGCTTTACTACATGCTCAGAATTTGGATGTTCAGCTGTACTCCCCTGCGTCTTTAGATGGTATATCTTATTTAATACATAAATAAAGCAACTTATCAATGGACCTTTTGGGAGAAAGGGACAGTTGCAGAAATAGCTTTAGCCATCTATGCATCGTGTGATGGCTAAGAGGCGCTAGTTGTTAGCAAAACTGACTTCATTTATCCTAGCAAATAGCGATGAGTTTATCCGAGTCATATCTTGCTGGACATTGAAGCAAAATTATGTCATTTCACATCATCAGAACATTATCGGTAAATAGGCCCGACGAGCATCAGACTATCTTCCTTTTCTGGAAATCTGGGGTATCGGCCGGAAACGGACTTGAGAGACACTCCGTCCGTAGGATTCAGGAAGTGGTGTGTTGTTGGTGAGGTGACATTGTGGAGGTGGGTATTTAGCCGTTGAAGAAATGGATCGAGGGATCGAAATAAGCATTTCTATTTGCGTATATCCGTATAACCGCCTCGCTTGCAAACATGTCAACAGTTGATCCAGGGGTACGGTCTTGTGTTATTTTCCGGCTGGGCATAAATTATTCAGACGATAGCAAGCGTTTAGATTGAAAGGTAGTTTAAATATCAAAATCACCTTCCAAGACTCTAGTCGTGTCAACATATTCGAGTCAATCTCACCTAATGCTGAGCAAATACCACCTCACCCATCCCAGCCCCAATACGCATCACCCAATCTGAAGCTATTCGGGAAGCGGAGACTCGAAAACCCCGTAGACCACTTCACTGACTTTAAGCTCACGCCACCAATCCCCTCAAGACAACGCTATGGTTGGCCTGATCTCCTCACGTCAATTGATCACCTGCAACCCTTGAAAAGCGGGCTGCTGTATGATTGGGTTCTAGCGGGTGATCCCTGTAAATCACCCCTGTAATGGCTTTGCTGATGGAGGGTCAGATCTGTCCGAGTAACTCAAAGGCCCCAGGTTTTTTACGTTTTCGCATTTCGGTTTCGCTATGCTAAACGAGACAACGCGTATTTGAACAAGTAGGCTTTTATAAGTATCCGATGGTCTTGTGTAAAGAGGGATCGAGAGTAGTAAGTATCCCGCCTCTCAGTAACTCAAACATTGAAAAAGAGAATTGGGTATCGTCACAAATGCAGGCGGGTCGTCCATCAATGTCTGCCAAAAGGTCCATCCCCTAAGAAAGACCTCAACGCCCATAAAGACAAAGCCCAATTGCAAAAGAACTGGTCTCAGAAAATGTGAATCTTCATACCAGGAAGACTTCAATGTCAAACAGCGAACCGTCCGGCCATCCGTTTTTTCGTAGAAAATTGATTCGCGAAGAGAATGACTCCAGGTATTCGTCAATCTGCTCCAGTAGGCGACGGCTCTCTGCTTCTCTTCCTTTTCAAATCCTCGCCTTCATGCAAACTCAAGGGCGACTGCTCGCGTTGGTTTGGCGGACTATGCTCTGGCGTTGGAAGTCTTATGCAAGTGCAATGCCTGAGAAGTTCTTCACATCTCGCAAGCCTTTCCAGAAGATCTTGATTCGGACGCCTGCGCTTCCTTGGCGGCGCTGGTGAACTTGGAGTGCAGACTGTTTTGAGCTATTGAGCAGTCAGTATCAGGACTGTTGGAACCTGTTAGAGTGGTTTACCCTTATGCAGTTCGAACATGGACTCTTCCGATCGCATTTCTTTTTCCTCTGTTGGCAGAGCACACATGACAGCACTCTCTTGCCCGCCTTCTTTGGTTCCGAGTCCATCGATGTGTTTGTAACTGTAGGGCTCAAGTCCGTAGACTCATCCCGATGCGAAGCAGGACTCGACATTTTCGTATGGAATTTACGACAATTATCTTTCTTACAATATTTCAACTCTCATCTCATGAGATGTAGATGTCGACTTTAAAAGCATATAGCCCAAACTCTAACCCTAGAGGACTAGGGTAAAGACGATTGGGTAGCAGATCATGCAACAAATCCATGGCGGAAAATGGGGTGCCACACTCGGGCAGTCGGGCTCGAGACTCATCCCGAGGCCAGGGGCTGACATACCAGGATATTGGAACCTGGAGATGCGGATAATTCTGGTCAACATGCGACTCGGAAGACGCAATCTGTCAAGAGTCCGCTTGGCCGACTTAAAAGGACTGTGCGGTTTATGTGTTCATTATCACGATACTGAAGCTTTATTCCCAGCAGTTCGTCTCAGTTTGTCGTATTAGAAATTCTTTTGATATGAGAGGCTGCAGCATTGGAGATCAGATCATTATGAGTCCACTCGCATGCCAGTCGCTTGTACTCAATCTCTAGATTTCTGAAGCTCAAAACTCTCAACTTATACTGTCTCTATTGAGAAGTCAGTGATCAAAATACCTCATAGCACTCCAGAAGACACACAGTTCAAACAAATCGATCATGGCATCAACTTATATGGGCGGTACCTCCGTCCAACCAGCACCACTACCGGGACTAGGACCAAATGTGACAGCAAATAATCAGACTACTACTTCAACCCATGAGCCTCATACACCCGTGAATCCAAGTTCAGACACAACTCCTACCAATTATTCTCAAGACCACGTGGCTTCCAAGGACGAAACACCAGCCAAATCCACCACAGAAGATGAAGAAGACTCGGAGCTCGAGCGCAGACACAGTATAGTCCGCGACTTGGCACGCCAGTATACCAACCAGAGTCAAATGTCTGCTATCAGCGGCAATCCCTTCACAGCCGATGAAAACAGCCCCTTGAACCCCAGAAGTGACAAGTTCAGAGCTTTGGCGTGGGCAAAGGCCATTTCGAAATTGAACAGTGAGACTGGCTTTACTAATCGGAAGGCTGGTGTTTGTTATCAGAGCCTCAATGTGTTTGGATATGGCCAACCCACGGATTATCAGAAGAACGTGGCTAATATCTGGCTTGACGTCGCTTCACTCCCACGGCAGCTGATGGGGTATGGAAAAACGAGGATCGATATCATTCGAGACTTTGATGGAGTTGTCAAGAACGGCGAGATGCTCGTGGTATTAGGGCCGCCTGGATCTGGCTGTTCAACATATCTCAAGACAATTTCCGGCGAGACGAGTGGTATCTACATCAACGATGATGCATACTTCAACTACAGGGGTAAGTCACCAAGCTCTTCAGATTCTGGACTGGCTGAACATCACCAGGCATAACGGCCCATGAGATGCACACCCGCCATCGCGGAGAAGCAATCTACACCGCAGAAGTAGACGTGCACTTCCCCCACCTCACGGTCGGCGACACCCTCGACTTCGCCGCCCACGCCCGCGCCCCACGCTCCATCCCCGGCGACATCGACCGCGAGACCTTCATCTCGCACTCCCGCGACGTGGTCATGGCCATGTTCGGCATAAGCCACACGGTGAACACAAAAGTCGGAAACGAGTACGTCCGCGGCGTGTCCGGCGGCGAGCGCAAACGCGTCACCATCGCCGAAGCATCCCTCAGCGGCGCACCTCTGCAGTGCTGGGATAATAGCACAAGAGGTCTTGATTCAGCGAATGCGGTCGAGTTTTGTAAGACGTTGAGGCTGCAGACGCAGATGTCTGATACGGCGGCTATGGTCTCGATATATCAAGCTCCACAGGCTGCTTATGATATCTTTGACAAGGTTCTTGTGTTGTATGAGGGAAGGCAGATCTTCTTTGGCGGGACGAAAATGGCGAAGCGATACTTTGAAGATCTGGGGTTCGAGTGTCCTGCACGACAGACGGTGCCTGATTTCCTGACCTCGATGACAAGTCCGCAAGAGCGAATCATACGAAAGGGGTTTGAAGATCGCGCACCGAGAACACCAGATGAATTCGCAGCAGCGTGGAAAGCCTCCCAAGCCAACACCCTCCTCCAACGAGAAATCGAAGAGTACAAACGCGACTTTCCGATAAATGGACCTGAAGCAGAAGAGTTTAGGGCGAATCGACGCGCGGCGCAGGCTAAGAACCAGCGCAAGAAGAGCCCGTATACGCTGAGCTACTGGCAGCAGACAAAGCTCTGTGTCTGGCGGGGCTTTAAGCGCTTGGTTACGGATCCGACTATAACGCTGACGCAGTTGTTTGGGAATTTCATCATGGCGCTGATTGTGGGGAGTGTGTTTTATAATATCAACCAGACGACTTCTAGCTTTTTCCAGAGGGGGGCTCTGTTGTTTTTGGCATGTCTGTCTAATGCATTCTCTAGTGCTCTTGAGGTACGCTCATCAATCTTTATCTTGTTCCGAGCGTTAGCTAACAAGTTAGATTCTTACGTTGTATGCCCAACGACCCATCGTTGAGAAGCACGATCGCTACGCCCTGTATCATCCCTCGTCTGAAGCGGTGGCCTCAATGCTCTGCGACATGCCCTACAAGATCCTCAACGCCTTCACGTACAACCTCACACTGTACTTCATGACCAACCTCCGCCGAGAGCCCGGGCCCTTTTTCTTCTTCCTTTTCATCACATTCCTCGTCACGCTCTGCATGTCCATGATTTTCAGAACGATTGCTTCTGCGTCTCGAACACTCTCGCAAGCTATGGTCCCAGCTGCTCTGCTCATCCTCGCATTGGTCACCTTTACAGGCTTCGTTATCCAGATTGACTATATGCTCGGTTGGTGCCGATGGATCAACTATGTCAATCCGCTTGCGTATGCGTTTGAGTCGCTTATGGTGAATGAGTTTCATAACCGCAAGTTTGAGTGCAACTTGTTTATCCCTACATATCCGGATGCAGCGCCTGAGAACCGCGTTTGCTCGACTGTCGGGGCTGTGCAGGGCGAACCTATGGTTTCAGGGGATAGGTATATCAACCTATCTTTCTCATACTACCATGCGCACAAGTGGCGAAACGTTGGGATCGTCATTGCCTTTACGCTTCTTTTCCTTGCGACTTACATGTTCTTTGCCGAAACTGTCAGCGCAAAGAAGTCAAAGGGAGAAGTCCTTGTTTTCCGTCGAGGACACAGACTTGCGAGGAATAGAGTTGATGCTGAGTCTAGTCCAGCGGGTCGCGCGGCCATCACGGAGAAAGAAGGCTATGGAGAAGGACAGCCGTCGAACTTCAAGTCAACGAGTGTCTTTCACTGGAACAACGTGTGCTACGATATCAAGATCAAGAGTGAAAACAGGCGCATTCTTGATAACGTAGCCGGATGGGTCAAGCCTGGTACAATGACAGCTCTAATGGTAAGCCCCTCGTCCAACTCATTTCTTTCCATACTAACGAGCCCAGGGCGTCTCAGGAGCCGGCAAAACAACGCTCCTCGACTGTCTCGCGGATCGCACAAGCATGGGCGTCATACACGGCGACATCCTCGTCGACGACAAACTCCGCGACGCCTCCTTCCAGCGCAAAACAGGCTACGTCCAGCAACAAGACCTACACCTATCCACAACCACAGTCCGCGAAGCCCTCAACTTCTCCGCCATAATGCGGCAGCCGAAACACATACCGGTGAAACAGAAGATCGCCTACGTTGATGAAGTCATCAAAATGCTAGACATGCAGGACTATTCCGAAGCAGTCGTTGGTGTTTTGGGCGAGGGCTTAAATGTGGAACAGCGGAAACGCTTGACGATCGGTGTTGAACTCGCTGCAAAACCGCCTGTTTTGTTATTTGTTGATGAACCTACCTCGGGATTGGATTCACAGACTTCATGGGCTATTCTGGACTTGCTGGAAAAGCTGGCTCGTAGCGGACAAGCTATCCTCTGCACTATCCACCAACCATCAGCCATGCTCTTCCAACGTTTCGATCGTCTACTCTTCTTAGCGAGCGGAGGGAAAACGGTGTACTTCGGAGACGTCGGCGACCATTCCCGCACAATGACTCAATATTTCGAATCTCACGGCGCAGAGCCATGTCCCCCTGAAGCAAACCCCGCAGAATGGATGCTCGAAGTAATCGGCGCAGCGCCAGGCTCCGAGACGGATATCGACTGGCCACAGATCTGGAGAGATTCTTCCGAGTTTGCTGAGGTTCAGAAACACTTACAGGAACTGTCTCATCATAGGGTTGAGAAGAGTCAGGATGAAGATCCGCATTTGTACGATGAGTTTGCCGCTACGTTTACGACGCAGTTGAAGTACGTGACCACGCGAGTCTTCGAGCAGTATTGGAGAACGCCTTCGTATATTTACTCCAAGACGGCGTTGTGTACGCTCGTGGCCTTGTTCATTGGCTTTTCGTTTTATCAGGCGCCTAACACGGCGCTCGGGCTGCAGAATCAGATGTTTGCGATTTTCCAGGTATTGACTGTCTTTGGACAGCTCACGCAGCAACAGGTAAGCCAAACTCCCTCAAATCTGGCCTGGCACGAATAAGACTGACTGTTTAGATGCCGCATTTTGTCATCCAACGAGATCTGTACGAAGTCAGAGAACGACCCTCCAAGACGTACAGTTGGCAGGTCTTCATCCTAAGTCAGATCATCGTCGAAATCCCATGGAACACCCTCATGGCTGCGATTATGTACTTCTGCTGGTACTACCCCATCGGTCTCTACCGCAATGCCGAACCCACCGACGCCGTAGCTGAGCGCGGCGCCCTGATGTTTCTTCTCTTCCTGGTCTTCATGCTCTTCACGTGCACCTTCACCGATTTCATAATCGCGGGTTGCAGTTCAGCTGAAACAGGAGGAAACATCGCTAACCTGCTTTTCATGATGTGTCTCATCTTCTGCGGTGTTCTCGCGCCACCGGATAGTTTCCCCAAGTTCTGGATCTGGATGTATCGCGTCAGTCCGTTTACATACCTGATATCAGCCATCTTATCTACCGCTGTGGCGAATACAGAAGCTGTCTGTGCGCAGAACGAATATGTCGTTTTCCCGCCGCCAGAGGGGAAAACGTGCGGGGAGTACATGCAGGCATATATCAAGAGCGCGGGGGGGTATCTTGTGGATGAGAGCAGTAATAGTACATGCACGTATTGTACTATCGGGGACAGTAATGTGTTTTTGGCGCGGGTTCAGTCGCACTATGATGAGCGGTGGAGGAATTTTGGGTTGATGTGGGTTTATATCATCTTTAATGTGTTTGCGGCTTTGGCGTTGTACTGGCTTGTTAGAGTCCCGAAGAACAAGAAGGGAGAGAAGGAGAAGAAAGAGTGAGAAGCAGTGCTGAGGATCGAATTTCTTGTTTCTTTGTATCATATAATTACTATTTGGAATATTACTTGATAGCGCACTTGTCTTGATCACTACTCCTTCATAGTGCAAATCTCGGTGGCCTTGTTCAGATGGTCCTTGATTTCATTCCCTGCGGTGAACGCGAACCATAAGCTCAGACTGTGAGAAAATACCACAATTAAACACAGTCCAAGGCTTGGTAGGATCACAAATCGTAAAGTCAAACCGTCTCAGCAACTACACAAAGTTAGCCTCATCCCTCCCTCATCATCAGAATACTTACCTCAACATAGACCTTGTTCAGTTCCATCAAAGCAACCGGTCTTCCCAAACACTGCCATCTTCCATAACTAAAGATCAACTCCAGCGCACTCTCCATCTCCCTCAACTTCTCACCCTTGCTCTCTAGCCATCTCTCCGGCCGAAACTCTCCAGCGTCAGAACCCCAGATATCCTCACGGCGGAATATTCCCCACGCGCAGTATCCGATTTTAGTACCGCCGGGTATGAATTTCCCTTTCCAGGTGTCGCCTTGGGGAGGGACTTGTTTGGACATAAGACCTGCGACGGGAGGGAATATGCGCAGGCCTTCTTTTATGACGGCTTGGAGATAGGGAAGATCACGGCCGATTGAGTCAGGGATTATGGGTTCTGAGAAGTGGGTTTTTGAGATTTCGGAGCGGAGGGTGGAGTATACGAGGGGATTGGTGATGATATGAAGCATGGTTGAGCGAATGGCTGTAGCTGTTGTATCCGAGCCCGCGACACTGCCATCATTAGCCAAGACACCAATTGACTCGAAGCACTTACATCTGCAACAGAATCTCCGACTCTGCTTCTTTCTGTGTGAGGCCATGAGCGACAAAAGACCCAAGCATGTCTTTCTGAACCTTTTTATCCGGTCCAAATCGCTCAGCCGTGACCTGTTTCGCAATTCTTCAATCCGTCAGCACTTTCACCCAAGTCAATTAAACATCATCATACTCACCCCATCAACTTTCCAAACCCAAGCCTATCCTTCTCCGACGGCAAAAGGCTTTTGAACAGCGGCGAACTCAAGACCTTGACCAGCCACGGAATCACCGTTGTCACCATGACAGCTGGCAGCGTCTCCTCCGTGATCTGGATATACTTGTACACATCCGAATCCGTCTCCAAAAATCCAAATGGTTCACCAAACGCCAGGTCCGAGATGACATCTAGAGTGAAAAACTGCGCGCGCCGACCAAAATCAACGGGTTTTTTCTCATCGGCGTATTTTCCCAACAAGTCCATGAAGGAGAGTATGTTCCTGTCGATCTTGGGTTCGAGATTCTCTACTTCGCGACCGCCGTAGCCAGCTGACATCTTGGAGCGCAGCTTGAAATGCTCGTCCTCGTCGCGCCACGAGAGAATGTTGTTGTTGCCGGGATCGAAGCGCATGCCGTCGTACCAATCTGATCGGCGATATTCGGTTCGTACATTCAGGATATGGCGCATTAATTCTGGGTCGTCGGTGAGAAGATCGTTGGGTCCGACTCGAGCGATTGAGCCTGTTAAGATTGTTAGTTTGCGACAGATGCGATCACTGGATAAGTGTACCGTATTGTTTTGTGACCTCCCAAAAGTCGAGGTATGCTCTTCCACCACCGACTTTCTTGATCAACCACCATTTTGAGAGGGCTGCTAGGCGAGGGCCTTTAAATTCGCGCAGGCGGTTGTACTGTCGCCATGTTGAGAGGGCGGACCAGAGTGTCAGGAAGACCAGAAGCAGCCCTGCGATTGCGATCGATGGACGAACATCACCAGCCATTTCGCGCATATGGCCCAGAAAAGAATCTGCAGCCATGATGGCGCTGCCAAGAACAATCTTCAACAATTACCGGTGCTTATATCGCTAAGCGTTGAAGCTGTTGGTTCGCGCGAACAGTTTGGATCAGGGACCAGCGGGCCGAACCCGTGGGGACTTGGCTTTACAAAAAGAAACAATTCTACAGGCTCAAGGGGATCATTAATGTTCCCTTCCTTTCACTAGCATATGGTCGTGCATTACATCCAATTGCATCCATCCCCTCGGCAAGACAGCGAATGCAAACGAAGCTCTCTTGTGTTCCAGCCCCTCTACTGCACACTAAACTCAGCGCTAGACCTTCTAGACCACTAAACCCACCCTCTATCGTGCTAGTTTACACGCCATCGACCGCGGAACCGGGAACTTGATCGCTGGAATCGGAGAGAGGGCATCGTTTTAGGGTCGATGATCCGACGATCAAGGTGTACCATTGCCCTGAAGGAGAAATAAACCGCAGTCAGTCGAGAAAGTGACTTGTAACATGCCAGCCACAAGCCACGTCAGTTGTGTTTACTGGCTCTGCGCCCGCGACGTTTTATTTCATTAACGAGGCGCGGCTCGGTACGTTATCTTGTTTATTCAGATGAGGGGCTAATCGCGATATTTTTCGTTCACCATTAACATACGTCTCTATACCGAATTGCAACTTGCCGCGCACAACATAGTGGAAACATGACGACCGATACAGAGGCTGAAAAGCAGGCGGGCGATGATGCTAGGGATTTCAAGACCACCGTGACCACTTCCGTGACAGAAGCAGAGAGACATGCGCCCACGACTGATGAGAGCGCGCTGCAAGCCGAGGTTCGCGATTGAGACTTTTGAGGGGTGGTTCAATTGAATTAACGAGATTTAGAGTGAGCAGGACTTTCCTGACAACGATTCAGCGATAGGGGTAGGGAATATTCAGGACTGTTTGTGGCGTGAGCTGATGTTTGCAGGATGATGCTGCGAGCAGTACAGCGTCAATCAATTCGAGCATCATGGCCTATCGCACCGAGAACGGACGAACATACCACGCTTTCAGAGAGTCCAGTACGTGGCCCTCGCTCAGGTGAAGCATCATACTAATTATCATAGTCAATTATGTACTCCCGAATGACTCGGTATGAAGCCACATGTCTGCCAATTCATCACTAACGTAACTCTTCAGTCTGAGCAAGAACGTTTAGGTGAGTGAGTTACACGGGTATTATGAGCATGAACTGATTGGGGTAGATCTGCAACATCATTTGTTCACGCTCACTCTTGGCGGAAAGCTTTTTCTCAGCCCGATTGGAGATATCAAGCATTTGAGCCGCGTTCTTGATGCAGGAACCGGTACTGGCGTCTGGGCGATTGACTTTGCCGACGCCCATCCCGAAACTGAAGTACAACACCTCATCTCACGTTTCACATCAATACTAACATTCTAGGTCATCGGCATCGATCTCAGCCCCATCCAACCAAATTTGTACGCGTACAATCTTCAAAGTCCAGCTCATTCTCACTGATAAACACAGCCTCCCCACAAATCTCCAATTCCAAGTCGACGACCTCGAAGACGAATGGACCTTCTCCTACAACTTCGACTTCGTCTTCGCCCGCATGATGACCGGCTCAATCGGCGACTTTCCCAAATTCTTCGCCCAATCCTTTAACGCGCTGAGTCCCGGCGGCTGGGTTGAATGTCAAGACATAACATTCCCCGCACAATGCGACGACGACACTCTCAAAAAGGATTCCTACATCGAGCAGTGGTCCAGTCTCATGATCGAAGCGACGAACAAATTCGGTCGCACGGCGGAGAGTGCGAAATTTTATAAGCAGCAGATGATAGATGCAGGGTTTGTGAATGTTACCGAGGTGGTGTACAAGTGGCCTTCTAATAAATGGCCCGCTGATCCTTATTACAAGGAACTTGGTATGTTTTTTTTGTCACTGGGGGAGAGTTGAGCTGACGATTTAGGGTTTTGGTGTAATCATAATATTGCGGGTGAGCTGTCGGGTCTTTCTATGGTGCTCTTTACGAAAGGGCTGGGGTGGAGTCCTGAAGAGGTAGAGGTGTTTTTGGCAAAGGTTAGGACTGATATGAAGGATAGACGCATTCACGCTTGGTGGCCTATGTAAGTGATCCTCAGGCTTGTGAAGAATAAGTACTGACTACTTAGACATGTTGTGTATGGCCAAAAGCCGGAGGCTTAGGTTTGTGGCCAGTTTAATGATTGAAAATGATTTCTCTTGTTCCACAATTTCACATAAAATCGCAGTTTCTAGCATATTTCATACTGACATAGAAGAGAAAGACATAGCAAAGCGTATTGTACATATCCCAACCTTGGTGGATCTGTCGACTTGACCTTGCCCGGCATGGTATGTGTAAACTGCTGGTCAAGGTTGGTATACCAACAATTAAAAGGTGAATGGTTTGATCATTAATACATGTGGCCAGAGGCTCATATTCGCCTACGGCTACTGTTAACTAGCTAATTCCTATCAGAATTGCTCAGCACGATAATATAGTCCTCAGTTGGCCATATACCTCAACCCTCCGAGGGCTGAAGCATACTAGCAACAAACCCGTGCTGTTCTTCCATAGCCCAATCATATGGTGTCTTTCCCAGATGATCCTTTTTCTTGGCATCAGCCCCCATTTCCAACAACAAGTGAGTCGAAGCCATACAACCATTCTTCGCAACCCAATGTAAAGCTGTCCGTCCACAATAGTCGACCGAGTTGACATCTGCCCCCTTCCTGATAAGATATTCCAGAGCCTTAAACCTCTCATTTTTTGCTGCTAAGAGCACAGGAGTCCATCCGTGTACTCTAGCGTCTATATCAGCGCCTCCAGCTACTAGGGCGGCGACAACATCGGCGTGTCCATTGCGGGCTGCGATTTGGAGAGCTGTTTTACCATGCTTTTCTCGCTGGTTGGGATTTGCTCCGCTCTCCAGGAGAAGACTAGCAAGATCGGCGCGTCCTTGTTCGGCTGCCTGTGTGAGGGCAGTACTTTCACCAATCGGATCCTGAGCGTCAATGTCGGCGCCGCTTTCTATCAACGAGACGATTCTCTCCTTGTACCCGCTGTTAACGGCTGTACGAAGACCCGTCACAACTATGCTTCCATGTGATTTGTTTGAGGCCATTTCTTCGAGTATGTTGCGGCGGTCCTGGCCTGATAGTTCTGACCGAAGCTTATCCAAGATCTCCGGTGCATTATCCACTCGGCTCGCCAGTAACTCGATCAAGTTGTCGTGACCTCTTACCACGGCAGCATGTAGTGGGGTCCACTCATCATCATCTTGAGCATTGGCATCGGCCCCAGCATGTAAGAGTTGAGCCACTATAGGTCCGTGGCCCTGCATCACTGCCATATGTAAAGGGGTGACACCGTGAGAATCTGGTGCATCGGGGTCTCCTCCATATTCGAGTAAGGCACTTGTTGAATTGGGGAATCCAGCTTGGGCACTCCAATGCAAAGGTGACTGATTGGTGTCGTTCACGCAGTTCGAATCTGCTCCGTTACTAAGAAGCAGGCGTGTGATTCCCTCGTATGGGATCGCCCAATGCAACGGCGTGTTCTCAAAGCAATCTCGTGAGTTAGGATTCGCACCATTCTTCAAAAGAACCGAGGCCGCTTGCTCATGACCTCCAGGGACAGCCCAATGCAGCGCAGGACTTTCTTGCTCATCGACGGCATCTATTTCGGCACCTAGACGCAGAAGAAGATCCACGGTCCCGACACTCCCCGCTTCAGCAGCCAAGATCAGCGCTTTGTTTGTCTGCGAGTTGTCTGACACGACTTGAGCATACTGATCAAGGAGCATCAAAACCATGTTGTCGTGCCTATTAATCACAGCCCAGTGAAGAGCCGTCCAACATTCGTTATCCTCAATCGTCGAATCGGCACCGTTCGCGATAAGGAGTTCCATCACCTCACCGTGGCCATTCCTGGCGGCCCAAAGCATGGCAGTTTCACCTCGCTCGTTCATCAAATCTGTGTCGGCGCCTCGGAGGAGAAAGGCTTGCACCATTTTTGCAAAACCACGGCGTGAGGCTAGATGAAGTGCAGACATGCCGTGGCTATCTTGGTGATCAATGCTAACTCCAGTCTCAAGAGCTGGCTCAAGAACATTATATAAGCCCCAATATGCAGCTGCATGAAGCGACGTAAATTCTTTTGGGAAGGCTTCATGCCAACCAGCGGTGCGATGTCGGGGGATGCACATAGCTTGCATTGAAGAAGCCAACCTTTTCTCATCTTCTAGGAAAACCATGATCTCCCCGACATCATCACCATCTTGGTCAGCCGCGAAGTGGTCCCCCCAATGGTGAGAGGCGTAGCCGAGGAGAGCATAATCACTCATTCGTTTATCCAGTTCTTGTTCAGCTTCGCAAGGGCCGGTACTGAAGACATCGAAAGACAAATAGGTCAGGCAAGTTCTTGCGAGTTGGGTTTCCGGTTCCAAGAATCGACCTTGACGCTTCGAAAAGTATTCATGGAGAGTTAGGTGGATGAGTCTCGCGTCGTCCGTGTTGTCGCCGATTTGGAGCAGGCCAGCCGTGACGGACAGAAGAATATGCCTTTCAGTAAACGCCAAGTCATCAAGCTCTGGGTCTCCGGGTTCAACACTCAACGCATGGAAAAGTTCCTCCGAAGTCAGTGGTCTCTTGGCATAGAATACGTATGAAAGTGCCTTCTTAGCCAATAGACTATCGCCCTCCTCAAGGTTCTCTATCCTCTGCCAAGCCGCGTCATAAAACTCTTCTAGTTTGCCAACCAGAGAATTCAGCGATGACCGAACTTGTCTGAGATTAGAGCGACCGCATAAATATTCGATCTGTAGGTGGGCCAGAAGGAACCTGTAGATAGCTGTCAGTGATTAAGAACAGCAGTCAGGGGAATCCGACTAACATCCCATCAGTCTTTTTGACCAGATTATTGATAATATCATTCCTGAGAGCTTTATCTCTGGCCAAGAATGAGCGCATTCTTGAGTTTGCTTTCATCTTGGCATCGAGATATGTCTCTACATCTGAAGACCGAGCTGCGATGGTGATTTGTGTGAGATTGTTAAAACTTTCGGTGAGGTCCAGGTTCATTCGAGAGGTTATCAGCAGATGTGCAGAGGCTTCCACATCCCTGGCCAATTGAAGGAACGCGTCTCTGTTTTCTTCAGGGCATTCATCCTAGATATTCAGGTCAATGCTGGTTTGAATAAGAATAGAGAAGACAGCGTTACCAGCGCATCAATGAGAATAAACGTCTTCCGGAAACGTTTGGACAAAGACCTGATAAGTGACATACGCTCTTCGTCGCTCGGTAGTGCTCTCTTTTCGAGATACTTGTCTCGAAAACTAATAATGTCGGGCGGTAGCTGACTACACGCTTCTACCATCTGCCTAATGACGCTGGCCCAAATGTTGGTCTCCGAAAGAGTGCGCTTGTCCTTATAATCGCAGTAAACGTAGGCTATTGCAACTTCGTCCTTCTTTGTGCTTTCTTCGAGGTAGTTGATGACGGTGGACCTATGAGAGTATGTAAGACAACCGTCTTCCTGCATTCATATCGATGAATGAGATACTGACATCATGACCGACTTTCCAGAGCCAGCTGTTAAGGGAATTAGCATCACTGGCAATCTCAAGCTCAAAAATGGGTCCTCATACGATTTCCTGCACACCATAGCATAGCGCTTTTCTCATCACTCTCAGAGAACCAGTTTTGGAATTCATCGGAGTCAAGTAACCATTTTCCAGTATCGCCATGGTGCTTTGAGAAAAGATTGCGCTGTTTGTCACAAAAGTCAAGACTCGAAAGCCATTTGATAAGGTTCTCCCGCTCAACAACTGCTTCGTGGGCTGGAAACTTCGATTAGCTTGGGACCTGAAACCACTGCCGAATGCTCACAGTCCAAATATCCGTTCATTCTGTTTGACCTCTCCGTCAAGTACTCCAGCTTGTGTTCAACACGCTCCGTCAGAGCCAAGTTCTCATTTATGCCAGTAGCAGCCGCTCGAGCATGAAACTTGCCCTGTTCCACTCCCAGTAGAATGCAATACTCGACAACTCCTCTCTCTCGTTCAACAGCCTTACGGAGGTTTTCGTAAGCCTCCTTCAGCTCAGAGTCCTCTCCGGATAGAAGAGCTTTAAGTGCCTTGACTGCCAAATTCATAAGCAAAGAGATACATACTTCTAAGCTGCTTCACAGCGATATAGACTCAGGCAGGCTTGCTGATGTAGAAATAGACGTGGAGAAGAGAGAAGCAACTCACCAATGCGTTTTGTCTTCAGGTATCTCGTACAGATAGCGCACAGAACTAGAGTCGATACCAGAACTTCGGTAAGTGCTGCTCGGAGTTCCGCAATTGCAGGAATCTTATGCTCTAACACGCTTAGACGCGTCAAATATGATCGCAAATCTTCAAAGAAGTTTTCGAGTTTGTCGTAGTCTGCAGAAACGCTTTTTGAGACCTAAAAAGTGATTAGAAATAAAATGGTCAAGGATCCCATGCCACTCACACTTATAAGATACCGCATAGCGGCAAATATGGCCTCCGTTGCCGGATACACCTAGCATCGCAATTAGCAACGCTATATATGGTAGGTAACAAGATGTCTTACCGTTTTTGTTGCGTTCACTACAATGTCCCCGATCAATTGAATAGGGGCCAGTGCCTCTTTGACAAGCGTCCTAAACTTGTCAATCTTGGAGCCATCATGGCGACGCCATTTAAACTTTTCTTCCTTATCCTCTATTGCTTCAAGAACTTGCTGCACATTAGTAGCGCGTTCTAAATCCACCTCTTTACCCGTGATCGCCTTATATCGATCAATAGCTCCTTGCCATAGCAGACTTATGTCCGAGACTTCTGGGTTATTCTGACTCGGCCTTGACGTAAGCCCACTGCTTTCGTCTCTGATATTTTGGGGGTCTTGCATGCTTTCGCTAGCCTTCTAGGAATTAACCATGGGCAGGGGGCGTGTGTCGTCTTAAATGAATAATCTGAAGCAGCACAAATGACATTTGTTGATGTGCGAATCTAAGCTCAACGTTATAAAACAAGATACCAGAAGTTGAAGTGTGAGGGGTTATAAATGATGGTGAAACGTCCAGTTCTGGGGATTTGAATACCTAATAATAGTCATATGATGAATGGCTGGGCGTCTTTTTCCAAGTGTCCAATCATGAGTGCTCTATATCCGCCGTGTTTTTCCATGCAACCCAGCATCGGTTGATGGTTGGGTAATTAGACGCTTGTACTCCGTACTCCACATTGCAAACAAATATTAAGGTATCTACAAACAGAGTTCTAAAATAGTTAAACAATTAATTAAGAAAATAGTTTATAATCCTGTATACATATTGTAAGGGAGGAAAAGACCCTTTAAATATTTACTTAACTCTTTAATTGTAGTGCATACATCTTCAATGGAAGTAGCTGCCGCTTGTTTACAATCGGGAACCCGCGTTGTTCATCAGATCTCACCAGCTTCATCCCTGCCCTGTCAAAAAGTTGCAGGAATTTTTCATCCTCTCTATTCATTCGTCAGTCCCCAAACCGCAGAAAGCTGGCAGGAAGAACCTTACCTTGTAACGCTACCGTCAAGCTCATCAAACTTGTCCTGGCCCCATGTGCTCAAATTCTCCTTGAATACAATGAGGCCATGTTCTTTTTGTAGCACAGTTTTGCACTTTTCAAGGAACTGCACCAGCTCCTCGTCGTTGAGATGCCCTATGCACCACTGGATCCAGATCAGGTCGTACACAGCTCCCTCGGTGGGTTCCCATTTCTCAAGACCAACATTGTGTATTTCTCCGACGCCAGGCTTGCTGCGTAGAGTTTCTGTGAATTTGGCCACGGGCTCGACGACGTCAACTTGATCCGCCAGCTTGAGAAGCAGTCCTTCTGTTATCCTGCCAATTCTACACAGTTCCCTGTCAGCAATTTTATCCTCAGACATCCCAGTCCAATACTCACCCTGCTCCACCCTCAAGAACTCGTGGCACTCTTTGTCTACCGCTCTTGATGCCAATTCCTAGCCTCGCCAAAAACGTGCGTGATCCTTGGAGATCAATGCGGGAAACGGAGGGCATGACAGCCAGAACGCCGCCAAGCATTCCGTTACTATCAGAAGCAACAGTCTCCCAGTATTCTTTGCATTTTTCTGCTTGTATCAAGCTATCGGGTTGTGAGTTTGCAGGGTTTGACATGATGAGAGAGCTGTGAATTGGTGTGCAGAAGAAGAAAATCCACCTCTAAATTTTGCCTGCATAAAACACTTGTGCTTAATTTTGCGCCACATGTGGCTTGCTCGTACGAGACGTCAGACAATGAATTTCTTCGTTATGGAAATTAGCCAGTAGTCTTTTGAAACTTGCAAGGACAATATAGCAATTCCAGATTCGATTCCTATGATTCATTTACGTTATCACTTGGTACAGTTAGATACTGTAACAGGTGTTGTTGGACAACAAAAACGCCACAGCAGTCGTGCAGGGTAGGTAGATACTCAAGACAACAAAAATTGATACTCTACGGCTGTGATCGAAATAGAGTGATCAATTGTACTCCGAGGGGCCTCATGGAGCGCCATTATATCTCAAGTTGAGGGAAAGTTGAACTTCGCTGTTTTCCCATTCAGTTAAGCTACGGAACATCGCTAACTTGCTGAAATGCAACATTCTTTGACAAATCTGCTAACGAACTCATAAATGCGATGAGAGGGCCACACAAAAAGCTTGTTTACAAACCCATAAAGTCTTCTTGAAACTCCTTCTTGGCCGAATAAGCGGTCTCTAATGCCTAGAAAAAGTGATCTCGGCATGGGAAGCCAAGTGCCGGCTTGGCAATACGCGATTCTTGGTATTGTTTTGTCAATAGAAGGCGTCGAGGCAGTGCACCTTGGCATCTTTTCTCTCTTTGACGTTTATTATTAAGGATATGTTCTCTACCATTGCAATTGTCAGAAGTAAAAAAAAAGGCCGTATTTTTAATATCCAAGACCAGCGGTTCTTCATCTATATAATTCGACCTATCCACTAATACAGAGCCCATTAACAATATTTTGCCCAGACTAGTCCACGTACGCATCGTCTGTGCACTCTTCTTGGCGAAGCAATTCAGAGCCGAAATCGCCGGATCCTAATCTCTTTTCTCTCAGCCCAGACAATTTTCGCTCCGAATAATAGTGGGTCTACCAGCACGTCATCCCGATGAAAGGAGTGACTCTTTTTTTCTTCTCTCCCTTCAAAATAACTTTTCGAGGCGTCGACTAAGAAAACATTTTCAATCTGCCAAAGACGCCATCACGCCCGCGGCCGTTGGATTAAAAAGAACTCCGTTATCGACGTTGAAAAGGACTTTTTTGAGAGGGAATACGTTTCGGCAACACTTCCGAATCTCGGCCAATATGCCCGACTCTGGTAGCGGTAGCGATAGCCCCGAAGCTGGGGTGAAGGGAGAGACGAAGAGCCCTGTGGCCAGCAGATTCACGACGGAGATTGATACGCGATGGGGTGATATTCTGCTGCTCATTTGTTTCTTCGTGGCCGGTCTCGTTGACAGCGCCGCGTTCAATATGTACGGCTGTTTCGTCAGTATGCAAACAGGTCAGTTCATGTCTCAATTGATATCTCAATCTCAATCTCACATCCTGCAGGAAACACAATCTTTGTTGGTCTAGGCGTCAGTCATCAGCCCGAAAACCTACCTGGAAAAGCGTGGTCTCGCTGTTTTCTCGCTATTGTCTGCTTCGCTTTTGGAGCTCTCTTCTTCTCCAGCTTCCACCGATTTTTCGGACCTCAGAAGCGCTGGGTCCTTATCACGTCATTCCTTATCCAGGCTCTTCTTACTGGTCTTGTCGCTATCCTCGCTACAACTGGTGCAGTCTATAATCATCCGCATGGTCGGGAAACAGTGCACGAGGATGGCTGGATTATCGAGAGAGTCCAGGATTCATTCCCAGCAACCGACTACGCCGCCATCATCATCCTCGCTTTCCAGAGCGCAGGCCAAATCGTCGCCAGCCGTGTCCTCAAGTACAACGCTATGCCGACTATTGTCCTGACAAGTCTGTACTGCGACATGATGAGCGATGCAAAGCTCTTCACTGCGCCTATCAATGACAATGCCGATCGAAACCGAAGAGCCACTGGAGCTGTGCTTCTCTTCGCTGGTGCTGTTTCTGGTGGTTTCCTGTCCAAGTCTTGGGTTGGATTTGCTGGAGCTCTTTGGATCGCTGCATTCCTCAAGTTGTGCATCACTTTCGCTTGGGTCTTCTGGAAGCCCAAGTCCTCCAACAAATAAACGAATGCAATCTGAGATGGACGAAAACAGGTCGCATTATGCTTTACGTCTGAGGGGGCACTTAGTTATTAGCGTTGATATCCAATGCCTAGATGTATTAGATGGTTAGAGATTTATAGAATTGAATAGAATAGTAATTAATCGGAGAATCTGATATCTTCCTTCGGAAATCGATCCTGGCTCACCGAGTCTCTGGCTATTTTTATGCTACTGGCTAACAGTTACGCTGCTGTTCATGTCTCTCTCTGTTGAGTCCTGGGTTGTATATAAAATTCCACATATTTTGCTTTCCAAGCGATGCTCAGGCACTTGATAAAATGGCCGAGAGTCGTCGCAATCAGTATGATTTCACCGAATCATAGAGACCTTCGGTTAACTTCCTTTCCGGACCACACGACCATGAAGCTCAACGTCACATTTTCAACACAAGATCCTTCGGGCTATGATACTGACGCCTCATCACCAAATCATGCCATACCAACATGAAAGCTATGTTTACGAAAGCGATGGAATGAGGCTGCATCAATATGCCAGTGCACAGCAGGCAGCCCTGGGTGCCATTGGAGCTACTGTCAATATCAATCAGGAAACACCGTATCAGCTGTCTCGGTTACTTGAGTGAGGCCTCATTTTTGAGAAGCGACGCTGACATGGTGTTCCGATCAGCCAATGAGTTTAATCCCTGGATCTGTAGGATTCTCAGCTCGTGACCAAAGAAGCAGCTGAATCAACGTTTCTCCAACCTCTCAGTTATCAATCTGCATTTTCAGGCTGTCAAGCGGCACAGCAGCGATGCTGACCCGATCACGTCTTACGTGGACAGCCATCCGACCTGTAGGATTCCGCCTTGCTTACGTATATACATGGTTTATTTGTTTTTACGAAACAACAGCCAATAAGAGCGATTGTACCTCGTGAGGCTCTGGAGACCGTCAGCAGTAAGCATGATATGATAAAACCTTCCTAATATGGAATACGGTGAACAATCAGCCCTTCGCTTTTGTTCCGGAGAATTGATTCCGAAACAGTAACCGTGAGCAGTCAGATTCGCGACTCCTGGTGTGATGGTTGTACTGCGTTGCACTTCAGACATCCTTTTCAAACCCCTTGTTTCTTGACTCTGCAGTGTAGTCAACAGATTGGCCAGACTCAATCAGGTGTGACACTGTGCTGGGAAAGTCATCAGGTTTGGCTTCACATGCGACGCGCAGCCTGCGGCATAGATAACAAGGCCCAGTTCCTCGCGTCCATCCATCTTGACCGTCGCTTCTCATCATTCAAGCTTTTCCGAGTGACAGCGATGATACTGAATTTCTCGGCGATATAGACAATATCTCCATCTGTCTATTGCCTTGTATTACACCCTGCGCAGCTGCCAGCAATCCCCCCCATACCCCATCAGCCAGCTTTTGCCCTTTCGACCAGACTCCACCCAAAACTCACAATGTGCGTCTGGATCATGAACACAAACCACTTTCTATGTGGCCACACAACCCTGACCCGCGCATTCTCGATGAAGACCGGCTGCTGGTTCACCTGTAACGTCATTACCGCCGAGGTTGTAGGCCAGGGCGTTCACAACTGGTCGAAGCCTTGCTCTTCTTGCATCTCGGCTGGGACTTACTGGAAGAG